AATCCTCTTTTTTTGTGTGTGAAAACAAGATATTTATAATATAAAGTGGTAGCCCAAATTTATAGTAACAGCTTTCCCAGGGGAACACAATTATTTTAGGAGGAGAAACAAGAATACGTTAAGAGCAAAAGTTTTTTTAAAAAATGAAGAGGCTTTGGACTTCACAAAGCTGTCAAAAAAAAAAAAAAGAGGCTACAGAAAAGGTATACCTGAGCTCCGTACAAATTTAAATCTAAATTCTGCTTAAAGAATATTCATATCACAAAAGTGACACTGTAGAATTATGAAACATTTAGCAAAGCTTGAGAAAATTAGAACAGGAAGATGAGGAGAAAAACTAAAACATGTCCCTAGTTTTAAAAATGTGCTCTGGATGAGAATGATAAAATTATGTCAAGATTCACTAATACGTCTTTAAGAATATTGGATTTGCATGGGAAAAGGATTTGAGATTTTTGTTTTGTTTGCTTTTTTCATGAAGCATGTGTTTTCTCTTAAGCCATTTCACCAATGCCATTACATCTTGGGGTCAGGCTGGGCCATTTGACCCAACAACCTGGAGACTTCTGAGTGACAGTGATAAGATCTGACTCCTGGTATAGGTGTTCTAATGTCTGTCACAACATGAAAGGTATTCATTTAACAGAGACAAAACAGAATCAGATAAAAAGTAAAAGACATGTATATCTAATTGATTGCAAGGGTTGGAAAGGGTAGTTTCCTCTTATTCAATTAAAGATAAAAATTATTTATACCAAATAAAATTAGAAATCTGCTGCAATTGTTTGCTCTTATTTGTGGTGTGGGGCTGGGAGGGTTTTTTGTTTGTTTGTTTAAATGGCTTCTTTGAGATATATTCACACAGCATATAATTTATCCACTTAAAGTATACAATTCAGTGTTTTTTAGTATAGTCATAGGATTATGTAACCATCATCACAATCTAATTCTAGAATATTTTCATCTCCCCTAAAAGAAATGTTATGCCCATTAGCTGTCACTTCCCACTCTTTGCACCCCCTAGCCCTACCCCCTAAGCAACCACTAACCTATTTTATTTCTATACAGTTCCCTGTCATGGGCAATTACCTTTTAATTGTCATTCATGGCCTGTCCTGCTAAAATAAATTCTTTTTATTTATTTTACATTATCATAAGGACAAGAAAAATAAACTAGAGCCCTCAAAAATATGAATAGGCATCACAAAAATTGTAGCAGTGTAGCCAAAAAAGCTGTTAAAATCAACAGCATCTGATGGCTTAAATAAATAGTCACCAAGCAGTAAAGGTGTGGCAATGACAGATTGTGGTATCACTTAAGAGAGTCAAATGCTAGTAATTTTCAATATAAACCTGAAGCAGGCTTGGGTTGCAGAAACTTCTCCTGCTCATAAGAACAGTAATATTTGCAATCAGGAAATTTGCATATGCAATTCCTGACTTCATTGCTCACCAACTGTGTGACTCTGGGCAAGTAACAGAAGATTTATAAACTTCAGTTTCTTCATCTGTAATATGGGAATAATGGTGGTACTAACCTCATGAAGTTAGCATGGGGATTAACACATGTAGAGCTTTTAGAGCCAAGCCTGGCACATAATAAGTGCTCAATAAATGGTAATTATTTTATCACTTTTATTCATTAGAATTCAATCGTTCAGGTCAAATTCCCAAATGGAATTCTTAGATATGCCAGCTTGCCCTATGCCACATTTAATCGGTAGTTTCAAAGTCTATTCAAAAAAGTTTCCTGCCAATAAAGAAATGAATCTAAGATACTATAATGTAGAGAGACAAATAATAGCATGATCAAGTATGATTAAGAATAGAGCTGGAAACCAGTCAGTTGCTTTAGAGCCATGTGTTCTATAAATAGTAAAATTGCTAATTTATTATTCTCACCTCATACTCATGTAACAGATTTTCCTTTTCTATATTAAAAGAAAAAATTACAGCAGCAATAAAGCTTATAAAATGCTATTACACATATCTAATAAAAAATAAAGAATAGTGTTAGAGCATTATAAACTACATATAATCTCTTATAATTGAAATGTTAACTAAGACCTTAAACGTGTGACTTTTAAATCTGTGACGGTGAACTGAAATTGTAATTTGGTTTTATTTTCATAAATGTAAGGAAGTATAACCACCAATAGTTTCATTAATTTCTCTTCCATTCCAATACAAAATGTCTTTTGCTAATAGGACTGATATGTTAGATGATGTTATTCTTGAAAATTATGTATTTTCTGTTCTTTTAAAAAGTGTGGTGGTCAGTAGTATTATGTCCCAATCAGATGATTCATGATACACAACATTTTCATATTTGGGAAATGTTAACACATTACAGTCCTTGCTTTGTAACATAAAAGAATTAATCACAGACTACACATTTTCATTTTCCTTTGACCCTTGAGACAACTTAAATGATCTGGTTTGCATGCAGCTGCATTTTGGGTCCTCAAAGGCCTCTACATTATTGATCCGTGTCTACATTTTCATCCCAGGCTTTACTGCTCTTGGCATTGTTTTGTATTTGCATGAAAATTTGTGAATTTTTTTTTGCATGACGAGTCATCAGTAATGTTGAAGTTAAATGTCTAACATACCTTGCAATATCACATGCCATTAATTCTTACATGATTTTTTTCCTTTTATTTTCAGTTACTGAAGTTTAAATATGCTTGAAATGTAAAAGTGGCATGAAACTGGAGTGATGCAAGAATATTTAATGTTACTTTAAGGACTATAATTTTTAACTGGGAAAATTTGGGGGCAATTCCCAATCTTGTCTTTGGATACCAACCCTCAATTATGAATGATGATAAAACTATAGTGAACATAGGTGCTGCCAGCAGAGTAATAAGTTCTGAAGTGATACTTCTTTTTTTCCTGAGAAGGTGTTTTAGTATTTGAATGTAAAGTATGAAATTTGTCCCCTGATTTTAGAAATTATTAAATATTCAATTTATTATTTTTTGTAAAGCCTTTTTAATGGGCATAAAATTAAGCTCCATTACTTTGGTGAAAATTTCTACCCCCTAAAAAAGTAATGAATTACTTACTGAATGACTGACTGTACCAACATTTTAGTACTTAAATGTGTCCTAAATGAACATGATCACCAAAATGGATATTCGAAATAGGGAGTGCATGAATATACAAAAAAATAAGTTATTTACACCATTTTGTCAAGCTTCAAATCCATTAAGGGCACATGACTAATTCCCACAGAGACAAAACACATACGTCCAAACACATATATCCACTTGTTTGGATATTGTTTCCTTCCAGATAGTCACCTTGCTGGCTCTACATTCATTCCACCAATTGCTATTGCCAAAACTGTTTTAGAATACCCCTTTTCAAATTATCTCACAGTCTTTGGCACATTCATTTTAATACCTATGTAGTAGCAAATCTTGTTCCTTGAGGAGTGATTTTAATTTTTTTAAGCAGCTGAAAAACCCTCAGAGGCAAATCAGTCAAATAAGGATAGTAATCAAGCTGGCAAAGCATGTTTTTAAAATGATATATGAATATGAATTAATAAGACTTGCATAGCCTATAGCTTGTAAAATGACTGTGAACACATTTCCCGAAGAAGAGCCCAAGAAAGTATTTGCATACTAACAGCAGCAGTGGAATAAATGAAATTTTCCTATGAAGTCTTTCAGGCAAGCACACACTATTCACTTGAATGAAAAAATTCTAGTATCTATATTGTGTATATATGTATAATTTTTAATTCAGCCTCATTTATGATAATGGAGTGGTTTATATTTTTAAAGACAGTCATTCTTGTGTTATTTTAATCTTATCAGACTATAGACCAGTGACTGTCATTTTTCCCTTTTGCTAAGTGAATTTAGCAGCAATTTTAACAGATTTTGGTTGACTGCCTTCTGGCTGCCACCAACTAACTCCGTAATGTTGGCATGAAACTCAACTTCTCTATGCCTCTAGCTCCCTGTCTACAAAATGAGAGCACAGGGCTAAATTATCTTTAAAATCTCTTTTGAATAAAAGCGGGTTTTTTTAATTTTTATTTATTTATTTATTTATTTTTTTAAAGACAGGGTCTTGCTCTGTCACCCAGGCTGGAGTGCAGTGCCCAATCATACCTTACTGTAACCTCCAATTCCTAGGCTCAAGTGATCTTCCTGCCTCAGCCTTCCAAGTAGCTGGGACTACAGGCAAGAGCCACCACGCCCAGCTAATATTTTCCATTATTATTTTTTATAGAGACAGAGGTCTCACTATGCTGCCCAGGCTGGTATTGAATTCCTGGCCTCAAGCGATCCTCCCACCTTGGCCTCCCAAAGTGCTATGATTACAGGCATGAACCACTGTGCCAGCCTGAATAAAAATGTTATGCTGTAATTATCATATATCTGTGTGTGAGACTATAATTACCCTATGTCATAAATCTACATACTTCTCTGTGTGGTTTTAATTAAATCTAAATTGAAGTAATTCCAATCCAAGGTATTTTACAAGACATCTAGATACTGAGAAGAAAACTAGTTTCTCTAGTAAAGTTTTTTTTACCCAATGATGATAAGATGACATTGTATTTGTTTATATTGTCTTTTGTGAGTCTCCCAACCTAAGAGCTGCTATTACTATCCTTATTTTGCAGATGAAGATACTGAGGTTCAGAGAGATTCAGCTACCTAAGGTGAGGGACTAGCAAGATGTAGAGCTAGGACAAAGACTCAGGGTCTTCTGCTTCTGATGGAGACTCTTTCCCTCCATCATCATTTATCTGTAACCAGTCTTTTGATTGGGTGGCAATTTTTCACATGTGCCATCATTTAGAATTCACACTCCTTGAAAATAAAATCTGCCTTTAGAACCCTGTGGCACCTCTTTAGAGTATCCACTTGCGTCACTACAGCTCTCTGTGCTTTTACAAACTAGTTGTTTTGTCAGCATGAGTGTGACAGCAATTAGACGTCCCCCTGTTTTTGCCCCATGCCTTTTCTCCTTCACAGTCATTCAATGACAAGCGTAAAAAGAGCTTCATCTTTTCACGAAAATTCCCATTCTACAAGAACAAGGAGCAGAGTGAGCAGGAAACCAGTGATCCTGAACGTAAGTAGATTCTCAAAGATAATGTCACATGCAACACAAGAGAAAAAAATTCTTCACGGGCAACACGCATGATGTAGGCTCTCCCACGCCACACGCCTAGGCAAACGACACGGCAGGCAGGCAGGTCAGGTTTACTACTGTGACCAGTGTTTGACTGCAGTCTGGATCCTTCCTTTCATGTGGCTTTTCTTTGCAGAATGTGTTGCAGAGGGACTTGCCGAAGCTGGGACTTGCTTCCAACCAGCGTTTATCTTTGACCAAGACCATGTCTGGTTTGCCTTTTCTATCACGCAACTCTCTAGGGCTTAAGACAAATTATTTTCTTACTGGAAATATTGGATTCTATTAATACATATATTTTTTTGAATGCTAGCTAACTGAGAACATTACCTTTATTGATCTGAAATTACCTGAACTGAACTGAAATTACCTTTATTGATCACTAGCACATTTGCTCACTCTTTCTCTCCCAACAAATGTTAAATACTTGCTGCAAAGTGAGCTTGTCCTGGTGGATACTAAGTCTAAGAATTTGTTATGAAATTTTGAGAGGATTATTCCTCTAAGTGGGACATTTCTGTGGCAACATTACTGACAGTGGGCAAAAATGGCATTTGCTGAACCTTCCTTGCTTTTTTTCCTTACAGTTTCCTTCTTAAACCTTTCGAGTTGCTTTGCAAATCAGAAATTTCCTTCTTGAGTCTCAGCCCAGGGACTTTGGGGTGAAAGTTGTTTCCAAAGAAGAGAGTGTGGGATCCAGATTGTTAAGGCAACACGGTCTGTCATGGTAGTATCCATTTCAACTCCACTGACTTCTTCCTTCCTCTTCCGTGGCTGTTCTTCCTCTCTCATTGCTCTCTCTGGGGACTTCCATGCAGGACATCCCCGGATTAGGTGACGACGGTTATGGGACAAAGACTCTGAGTAAGTTTCCAGGAATGGTCACTGTAACTTTTCTTTTCTTTTCCTTTCCTTTTGAGTTTGGCTTTGTTCCTTTTCTTGAGGGCCTTTCACTCCTAGCATGCACAAGATACGAGTTTTATTTGTTACCTAGCTGTGAATGCTCCTACAAAGTAATTTTCAATCGTTTTGTTCTGCATGTCAGCATTTAAAAGCAAAGCGTGTCAGGCACTCTAACTTCTGTTGCAGTTAACACCATCCCTTTCTGACCATGTGGTAAGATCAACATGGTCCTGATGCCCACTGTAGCATCACTTGCTCTGCCACCTAATCCCTCCCAAAGAGCAAGAAACCATGTTGAAAGAAAGGGTGAGCTGAGTGTTCTAGTACAGCAAAGTAGAAATGTATTTTATGTGCTGCATTTTCACATGGAAATATTTAATGACCTCGCCAAATTTCATAATTGGGTTGTATTTTACTGTTAGTAAAGGAGCTATCTTGTAGTCAAAAGGAACATGCATTCTCAAAAAGTAGATATTAAGCTATTTGATCTTCCGTGAATAATTATTTGTTATTAACTTTGATTTTTTTTCCTGACTTGCAGTGATCCTACTTGAAACGTTTGTATAATAAAGTTTTAGATATGTGTTAATATGTTTTTCTATCAGTGATTTATTAGCAGTATTACACAATCAGGTCTTCATTTTATAATATAGGGTGAAAAATATATTAAGCCTTTACATTTTCTAATTATTCATGTCTTTAATCTGTGTCTCATTGCACTGAGCAATTAAAAAAATAATTATCCTATGTATCAGTATACTACACTATGATTTTTCTTCTTTAATAACTAACCCCATTGTGTAGGCACCAATGAAATAAGAACAGAGTTTTGTGTCTTTTGCAACTGTATCAAATGTTCAATTTTTTTTTTGTTTTGTTTGTTTTAATTTAACAGCTATGGGCAACAGTTTTAGAAGCTGTTCATTTCATTTGTGTGAAACAAAATACTGTTGAGCTGGACTTTGTTTTCAAGGGCTGTTTCTATAACCCCGTGTAATGATACCCTTCATAATTCAAATTGTTAACTTGAAGAATTTATATATATATATATATAACAATTTATATATATATAAAACAAAATATGATCAAGAGTACTGATCTTCTTAAAGATGAAAACTTTATTTGTGAGTCACTGTACGGAATATAATACAAAATTTTCTTTGAATTAGTGACTGAAATTCAAATATCGATTTCAACATTATCTGGACAGCATCAAGCACCACTAGCGAGAATTTGTAAATCTCCAGTTTTGGAGGGGAAAGAAGCATTTTCATATCTTGTTAATAATGAACATCACTAAAAAGTAGTTGCTATTGGAGTGTCAAAAATGTGAGTGATACCCTTTGAAATCCAGATGTGCAAATGTTTGTTTACTCTTTAAAAATTGAAGAGATTTTGAAAGTAAAAATACCCCAATTTGAGGTACTTAAGATAATAATGTACATGAAGATACAACTATTCTTGAATATGTTCCTTGACTTTCTTTTCAGTAATAAGAAAATAGATTTGCACAGATTCATCCACACTTCTTTCCCTCGTGCCCCTTTGCACTTGTAAAATATTTCCTCAAATTAATGATGCAGTTCTGGTCATAGACCAAGACAAAGAGAAATGATTCGCATCAATTTAACCTATGCTTTGGTTTTCATTAGTTTCATGCTCTAAAACTAATCTGTCCAATTGGCAAGAGCATGTAATATCAAACACACTTTAAAGTGCTTATTTTTAGTGTTAAAGAATAATGTTATATATTCTTTTTCTCTTTCTAAAAAGGTACAACAAAAATATTTTTTAAATGTACAATAGTGTCACGTCTTTAAAAACTGATGTTATTGTTAGTGAGCTTCAGAAATCAAATAGTTACATGTTTTCCATTTAATTAAAGTGATATACAAACAAGTTGATAAGCTGATGAGTTTATCTTCTATAACTTAACAAACAGTACAGATGAAAGAAATGATTTTGGAAATAAAACCTCTAATTCTGACATATAACAATATATACATCCCTGTTCTGTTAGCTAAACTGTGTTTGTATGAAAAAAGAACTTGGAATATCACTGTACAAGCATGTCTTCAACATGAATTCAAAACGTTTGTCATGCGAGGACTTGTACTGGGTATCAGGCCATTTATCTCCTGCCCATTCCGTTTCTCCAGAATTCAATAGCTACCTAAGCAAGAATCTTAAAATAAAACAAGGAAATATTCAACTATTTCATAAAACACTTTTTAGTGGCTCGATTCTTCCTCCAAGATTTTCTACTCACTCACTGAAGCAGAAAAGATCTTCAAGAATCTCTTTTTATCCTGAGATATAGTTTAGGAAATACTTAAAAAGAAACAAAATTCAAGGGATTCCAAGTATCAATTGACAATTTGAAATAGTGTTCCTGCAAAATGCTTAGAGGTTAAAATAGAGAAAGAATAAATCCTACAAGAAAACAATGTCTACACACCAGAAGCTCCTGAATTTCTAGTCAAGAAAACATTCAGTCAACACACACTGGCCTATATTACACAAATTTGGAAAATCAGAGCCGTATGAAGAAAAATGGCTCCGTTGACATTATATATTTTTTCGTGATTAAAGATACTTTCCTCAGTTTCTTAAAAAGAAGGAAGAGCAATCAAGCAGCAGATTCCTGTAAAATGAAGATAAAGTTTTCATCTTCTTTATCTTATCTGAATTTTCTTAATGCAGTCTCCTCTGCAGCCTTTTACTTGCCTTTTGCTCACATTTCTAGTAGCCTTGCATGAGTGTATTCCTTTCAGTTCTGGCTGCTTTCCAATGCTTGATATCTCTTTAATTTGCTGTGCTGTTCTTGCAGAACATGTTTCTTCTAATGCCAGCGATAGCGAAAGTAGCTACCGTAAGTTATTGCTTTGGTTTGCGGTTCTTTTCTTTGCAACTGCCTCATTGCCTGTGGTGGTCATCTCAGATTTTTGTTGTTGTTGTTTTTCAATTGCTGCCTTTTATCATTCTTATCCAAAGCAAATGGCTTGAAATGAAATCATCATTTGATGTAGAAAGATAAAAAAGACACTAGGGCCATCGGTGGACACTTACCGTGATTTGTGCTAGCAATAGCAGTCTTGCCAATACACAATCCCAACCTCCGTTGTGACCCAACTATTCAATTGTCACTGACAAAGTATGTGAAAAGTTCAACATGGTGAATTTTGACATTCTAACCCCCCTAAATTAATTTAAACTCCCTGCAGGAGTGTTGAAAATTCATCATGCTTTTATTTTCCTTCTCATTTTGCCTTTTCCCTTCTGTTCTTGACTTCCCTTTACCAAAGAAATCTTTATAAATTACAGTGTTCCTTTTAAATCATGTGTGAATCTTTTCCATCACTTTCTCCTTGATTAATTTTTAAGGTAGTACTACAACATATCTAACTTTATTTTTGTTAAGGAAGTGATGAAAAAGTTTCATCCTCTAATGTTAAAGGAACTTAACATTTTTTTTTAAAGTGAACAAATCTTCTTGGGTCAGAAAGCTTAACTGAAAAGGTAGGTAACTCTTTAAAAATTACTTCTGGTCTTTGTTTGGTCACTGCAAGCCATTTGCTTAATATATGAAAATATTCACCAAACACCAAACACATCCTTTTGATCAGTTCTCGTGGTTTCTTACCACCTAATTACTGGTTTTTGGTGACTAACATAGGTACATAATATTACTGGAATCCTTATAAATTTGATAATATGAATGTGTATTCCTTAGCAAAATGGGTTACACAAAAAGTAATTGCCACAGATATTAGAAAACTGCAGGCCCAATGCATGTGACCCACAGATACCAAGGCAGAAATTGGTATTATCTATTGCTTGAATATTGTATTAATGGAAATCTGGAATTGTTTTGAGTTCCTCCCCCATTATAGCATGGTACTTTACAAAACCATGCCTTTTTGAAGTGGAGTGCCAAATAGTGTTCATGTAGTAAGACATGTAATTTGGATTTTGAGAAACACTTTGGAGAATCAGATGTGTGGCAGGTAGAAAAAAGGCACAAAAGAGGAAATATG